AGTGGGGAAAATATGCTGATATTTTCTCAACCCACTGAGAAGTCTGGCCACGGCATTCTGCACATTTGAAGCTTCCGCATCAATCTCAAAGGTAGCCCCATGTAGAGTGCATTACAGTAGTCTAATCTGGAGACTACAAGTGCATGGACCAGAGTGGTGAGTGCCCCAACATCAAGATAGGGATGCAGCTGGGCACAGATAGGGACGCCACAGATGGAAATAGGCAGAATGGCGCCACCTGGGTTTCCATGGTGAGCACTCGGATTAGATGGACACCCAAGTTGCGAACCTCACTCTTTGCGGTGAGAGTCACTCTCCCAAAAGAGAGGGAGTTCCCCAAACCACCAATGGTGGGGCCACCCACCCTCAGGACATCCGTCTTGTCTGGGTTCAGCCTCAGTCCATTCTCCTGCATCCATTGTAGTACAGCCTCCAGGCAGCACGGAAGGGATGGAATGGCATTCACTGTGGTTGGAGAAAAGGAGATGTAGAGCTGGGTTTCATCAGCATACGGATGGCATGAAGCCCCACACCTCCTGATGACCCCATCTAGTGGCCTCATGTAGATAATCACAGCATATACAACTGTACATACCAGTGGAGCACTGCATATAGATTTTCAGTATTCTAGATAGTATTTGCTGCAAATTCTAAATCTGGAATACTTATTTATTTTATAAGTTGTGTAAACAAAAAATCTAAGGGCAACTTACAGGGAAGGGTACTCTAAAATAATAATTTGGAAAATGAATAAGTAAGATTTATTCAGTTCGATTTTTTTGTACAGCCTGATAACCAAAGCTCTCTGAGTAATCTACAAAAGTTAAATGGAACAGCAATAAAGAGAGTGATGCAATGAAATGTAACATAGCTAAATTCCAAACTGAAATTAAAAAGAAAGAGCAGGTGAAATGTGAAAGGTAAAAATACATTTTATCTGAAGAGATAAAACCTGCAGCAAGATTTAAAATTCTTGAGAAAATAAAAAAGATCTTTATGTGGCAAAAGAAAGTAAAAGTTGGTCATAAGGAGGAAAAACAAGAAGCAAGAAATTCATTTCCCTGCGCCACACTCAACCACCCATAGTGGTTTTTCTGGGATTCTACAAGTTCACGATCCTTGCAATACTGGAAATCCAGAGCTGGGCAAAAACAAATTTGAGAGAAACATTCTTGTGTAATAGGCATCTCTTTTCTTGTGCAAATTCATCAGAGCTCAAGCTTGCAATTTCCTTTGCAGGGTATATTTCTCAATATCCACGTCCTTTAGACAAAGGCCAGAGGAGCAGAAAGGGATGTACGATGTCATTTGATGTTAAATCCATACATGCTCTTAGAACCCTTATATCTTCTTTTCCTATTGAAGGGGAATATTCTGGTATTTGAAGAAGAATGCTAAACAACTTTAAATGCGGTTGGAAAACAATAATATATGTGGCCATCTGTCTTTGTTTTATATCCATTAGAACTTTATTGTCTTTGAACCCCTTGAGGTATATCCAGCCCTAAACTGAAGTAAATGAATCAGACTATCTTTCTAGTATCAGCACTGATCTGCTTTCATGCTAATACTAGAAAATGATGTACTAATTACTTTCATTCTGGAATGTGAGTTGTGAAGAAGTAACTTTGTTTTTTCTTGCTAGGTGGGCGAGGGAAAGATGGCTGCCCTGTCATCACGTTTCCAGAATACTCTGCATTCAGTGAAATTCCAGACAGTGATTTTCAGAATGTTCTGACATACCTCACAAATATTCCTAGGTAAGGCTTGCTTGAAAATACTCTAGTTTGCAGGCAGGGCAACACAGAAACATTGGCAGTCATTGCCATGTTGGTCTTTAGTAAGGAAATTTATCCTGACAAAAAGATAGTCTGCTTTTGGTAGAAAAGAAAAATCGATCTTCCTGAGACTGTGGCAGTGTTTGCTTTGTGAATTGCCTGCTGATATATGGTCTCCTGAACTTTGCAAGTCTGTATTTCTGAATCTTTATGGTACTAGACACTGTGCTGTTTAACTGTATGCAACTCACTCACTCACTCGTATACTACATATGCTTATACTTTCTGTCTTCAGTAAACACTATTGTATAAATTAGGTATAATTAGAGACTAAAGTGTTTGCAGCATGAGCCCAGGAAAATTCCAAGATGACTCTCATTACATATAAGTTTTCCAGGAAGTAAATAAGGAAGTAAATACCCAGTATGGTAGTGGACAGTGTGAAGGACTATGACTCTGATACCAGGGTTCTAATTTTCACCTGGCCACAGAAACTCACTGGACGTGTGGGACTGATAAAGTCACTCCTCAAATATCTCACTTACCTTGAAAGCCGTATTAGGGTTGCTGTAAGTCGGTTTCGAGAGCACATAACAAAGTAAGAGCAAAAATAGACAGTGATTCCATAGATAAAACATCCAAATTACAAAAGAAAAACATTAAGCTGTAAAACAGCAGTGAGGAAGCTTGAAGCCTTTCAGATGTTAAGGAGTTAACTACACACAAAGCCCCTCATTATTAGCCTAGGTGACTGGGGCTGATGGCAATTGAAGTCCAAAAGTATTTTAAGTTCCCCCAAACTTGCAGTAAAACACATAACTCAGTAGTTAAAATGTTACCATTGAGCTTATTTTTTACCCACACGCACTTCAGAAATCCTGGCTATGGTGAAATGGATGAGGGTGAGGAAACAGAAAGTGAAAGTTGGGAAGAGAATTGTGTTGCACCTAGCTGTGTGCCCGACTTTCCAATGAAATGGAGAACAGTTATTGGAAAAGGGCCCTGGAAATGGCATCACCACCCCAGAAGACTCTGGGGGTATGATTCTCCGAGTACTGTGCTATTTCTGATTCACCTATGCCTTTACAGATATCTTTTTTTTTTGAAAAAAATAACAACAGAAGTAATTTTCCAGTCATTTCTAGTTTGAGAAAAAAGGGTGTTGCTGCCTGCATGAAATGGGGGTTGGTGTATTCCCTTGACCCTCTATAGTTGCCCACCTCTAGTTTAAACCAAACAAAAGCTTCCCAGTGGAAAAGTTTTCATGTGCAGCGTTTCCCATTTGCCCTTCTGGTGTTTGGCTGTTAATGGGAAGGAAATTTTCAATAGCCTCATCCAACATTGTGCTCCTGTTCTAACACTACTGCAGCCAAACTCTTCTGTTTCTCTTCCTTCCCTGTGATGCTGCTGAGAAACTATCTCCCTGCCATGCAGATGTGACTTTAGAAATGCAGAGGTGGCTTTAATGGGAAGTGGGCATTGGTTCCTCCTCAGTTGCTATAGGGACCAGTTCCATCGGTAAATGTAATCTGCAAAGCTATAACTACCAATTTTGGCACCTTCTGCTCTTTTACCCTTAGAGTTAAGCTTCAGTCAGGTGAGGATGGTATGCGCAGGGAGAGGGTGGAGAAATAGACCTGGCTCTGAGCATGTGACAACTGTATTGGTTCCATGCTTAGTCATGTGTGTAAGAAGGAGTGACTGCGAGTGATACACATGATTATAGTAGGCAGGTTTGCGCCCTTCCAGCAGGTGAGTTGCACCCTTCCGGCAGCAAATTTATGCACCCTCTAACATTTCATGCCCCTGGTCAATGTCCTTGTTGATCACCCCAGTCTACCTATGGCTCTGATATCTTCATGGATCATGGCCATTATCATGACATTAACTGACATCAATCTGGATTGTGCTCCTTATTGCTTAATTCCCAGACGCCTTCAACACCAGTTGTGCTGGCTAGGATTTCTTGGAGTTGTGTTTCATGAATATCTGGAATATCCAAGGTTGGGAGCCACTGATGAAGAGGAACCAGAGACAAAAAAAAAATTTTTTTTAATGAATTTATTAATCCACATTGAACAGTTTAGCCCTTTATATATATAAAAAATACAACAACCACCTATCATAAGAAATAATTGGGTGTTGGGGGAAAAAATTAAATGAATTTATTCATCCCCAGTGAACAGTTTAGCCCTTTATATATATAAAAAATACAACAACCACCTATCATAAGAAATAATTGGGTGTTGATATCTTGGCTTTTTTGGGGGGTAATTTAGTTTTCTGAATTTTCTCAGTGCTGTATTTTGAGTTCAGTTTTTGAAAGAACCACTAGAGGCTGCTATTTGTTCTGAAAAGCACTTCTATTTTGGCGAAGTAGACATGAAACCGAATGGGAAAAATAGATGGGCCAGAGATACACACTTGGCCAGGCTTCCTTCAAGGCCCTTTAAATTAGCCCTGGCAAAGCACTGAAAGCACAAGACTGCTAGCAGTTGCTGCACCTGACCTGAAATCAGCAAGTCTAATGGTTCCTTCCTTTCAAAGCTAACACCAGCTCTGCAACGAAGAAAAAAAATTCACTTTAACCACAGGTAGCGATTCTGATAATGTGGTAGCACTTCCAACCGGCCAAGCACTAGGCTTAGGACCCTACCATTCCCTAACTACAGCCGCAAAAGTACCCAAATGTGAAGAATTTTTATTTGTATTTAAAATAGAAAAAGAAAACCAAATTACAAGAAAGGTCACTCAAAGACCAGAGTACAGGTTGCTGTCCTCTGAAGATGCCGGCCACAGAGACTGGCGAAACGTCAGGAAGAACAACCTTCAGAACACGGCCAAAGAGCCCGAAAAACCCAGAACAACCATAAGGTCACTCATATTAGTAAACCAACTCCAGTAAATGGGAAAAGTCCAAATTACAGTAGTTACGGATAAAGAACTGGGGAAGAATATCTACACATAAGAAAACTCAGCAGCCTATTTTGTTTATTCAGAGGACCTAAGAATGGATATAGACAACTCTCTGAGCTTTCTCATTATCGTATTCTTGAAGGCTTTCATGAACAGGAACCGATGGTTGTTGTAGGTTTTGGGGCTATGCCCCAGAACACAGACAGAGCTTCAGCTCCTGTCCTCTGAAGATGCTGGCCACAGAGACTGATGAAATGTTAGGAAGAAAAACCTCAAGAACATCACCCAACAGCCTGCAAAACATACAGCAATAATCTATGATGATTTCTCTCCAGCATAATAACATGCTAAAATGTTGAGGTACATTCTCCCCCACTTGCTCTGAGTCTTAACTATTTTTATACTTTTTCAGCCCTTACTCCAATGATGCTCCTCAACCAGTCTTCTAGAACAGTGGTCCCCAACTTTGGGCCTCCAGATGTTCTTGGACTACAACTCCCAGAGGTCTTCACCACCACCTCTGCTGGCCAGGATTTTTGGGAGTTGAAGTCCAGGAACATCTGGAAGCCCAAGGTTGGGGACCACTGTTCTAGAAGATCAGCCATTCTGCATGTAGCCAGTTTTATTTCTCACAAGAATGCAGTTGTGACTTATGACCAATTTATGCTCCCATTTCTGATGCTTCAGAGTAACCTGAGGTCCCTCCCTCTATCTCTTGATAGCCAGGCGGCCCTCTCCCAAAAACTGTCAGGGTTCTAGGTCAGTAAATGCCAACATTAATCTTCAAGGTACCTCCCTAATGGATCTGGTCTGACTCTTAGCAGTAATTCACATCTGCATGTTGTTAAGGATTTCAGAACTTCTTCACAGTTACTAGCTTTAGAGCAACAAGCAAAAAAACTATCAATTAAAAGATATAACACTGTTAGTTGAACTCACAAACATCCCCCGAACCCCTGAACTTTCTGTTCGGACAACATAACCCATTCCAATGCCCATTTACATAAGTACTGAACCTCCAGTGAATACATATATATTTCTCACACTCGCTCACATACAGACACACAGTATGCACATATGCACACTGACACATGCAAATATTTCCCTTCAGGATTTATCTAAAAAAGAAACATCTCAAAATATGTTTTCCAATGACTATTAATACATTTTTTTCATATAGTAAAGAAAAAAGATTTCAGGTTGGAATCATAAGGAAAGAAATATAGCCCTTCTGAGAAGATTCCAGAGCTCTGGAATCCAGGTGACCTTTTTCTTGACAAATACCTTTTCACCTTCCTGATCCAAGTATTCCAGTCTCCAAAATTTTGCAATGGAAACAGTGCAACTTCCTTCAAAAAAAGATTACCGGTATACCCTTCCTTCTGTTCTCAAGCCTTGAAGGCTTGTGGCCCCAAACATCTGGCATAGGCACTGGATTACACAGTGAATTTCTCATGTTTGAAAGTTTTTAATTTATATTGGCTTCTTCAAAGATCACTACTTTGTGATTTTGTGTCACCTGTGTTTCTGCTTGCAATTAATATCCATTTCTGCTAAAGGCCACCTAACATTACTTTTTTGAGCATTGAGACATTGGTTGAAATTCTGTTGGTGCAGGTTCACATACAGTCATGGCCAAAAATATTGGCACCCTTGCAATTCTGTCAGAAAATGCAACCCTTCTCTCAAAAAATTGTTGCAGTTGCAAATGTTTTGGTACTCACATGTTAATTTCTTTGGTTTGCATTGGAACAACACAAAAAATAGAGAAGAAAAGTCAAATCTGATACAATCCCACACAGAAACCCAAAAATGCACTGGCCAAAACTATTGGCACCCTTAACTTAATATTTGGTAGCACCCCCTTTGGAAAAAAAAACTGAAATCAATCGCTTCCTGTAACCATGAATGAGTTTCTTACATCTCTCTACTGGAATTTTGGACCACTCTTCTTTTGCAAACTGCTCCAGGGCATTCAGATTTGAAGAATGCTTTCTCCCAACTGCTGTTTTGAGATCTCTCCACAGATGTTCTATGGGATTCAGATCGGGACTCATTGCTGGCCA